GTGTGTGTGTGTGTGTGTGTGTGTGTGTGTGTGTGTGTGTGTATGTGTGTGTGTGTGTGTGTGTGTGTGTGGAGCACCGCAGAATTTAGAGATGCAGCAAAGACAAAGATGCTCATGGATTTATTGCTGTGAGACATGAATGACTCAGTCTCCATGAAGAGTAGCTGATAATAAATTAAGTGGTTAGAGCAACAAAGTAAATCAGACAATTTTAATGATGAAAACTTAACTCATTTATGCACRTCTAACATTTCTACTCCCATTCAATTAGAGATTACTGTTTACACTTAATGATTTGGTTCAGAAATGGCATGCATAGCTGCTAAGTTTTCATATTTATTTAAATATGATTAGATTTAGAAAATAGCAATATGGAAATCCCAAAACCCCTTTCCTTTAAAATACCTTATGACAACTTGTTAAATAACATAAAAACATACATTCATCTCAGAAAAGACTGCCTTTTTAATATTACATGCCAAAAATATAAAACACGGCAGCTTCTGATTGATAATCTTAAACTGTACATAAAATATTACATCAAAACTCTTTGTAAATAACATTACAACCTGGTGCACATGTACACAAATAGAAAACATTCATAAAAAGGGATCAAATCATCTCTGTAGGCTCGGTTGGTTGAGAAGCGCTGGCTGATCCGAGCTGTGGATCAGGACCAGCAATCTGAGCTCTGTCTCCTAAAAAAATATTTCTGTAGCTCCAGACAGATTCACCRTCTTCTACCGGGTGGTTTTCAGTAAAACTCAGGTCCAGCACCTATGAGAGCTTCTTCTTCTTGATGCTTTTCAGCTCGCTGAACTGAACCTGCAGGGAAACAACAAGAATAATTATTAATTAATTAAGTAAGAAGAAAACCCAGCAGAGACATAAATGAACAACTTAAGAGTTGTATAAATTCTTTGGGGTGAAAGTATCCTTCCAAGTTCAGTGGGAACCTGAGGGGAAACTTTACAGAAGCAGGAAATCTCTTTATAATTTCTAATTACAGCTCTTTATAATTCCAGGTCACAGGAATGTTATATTTAGATACTTGTCTCCTGTATTAAACAATTATTTCTCATTGTAAAAGAGGAGAATWTCACTAACGAGCAAGAGGTCCATCATTGTCATAAACACGGAGCGAGACTGGAGCATCTCTCTGCTTCTGACTGTCTGTCTCACTGAACCGTGTGACCCGGGGGGCTCGGAGGAAAGAGACGACTGGGGTCTGACAACTCCGAGGGACGGACAGGGTGAGGGGGAGGTGATGGAGAAAAGACAGCGATGCGACAGAAAGTAGGCAGGATAAAGTTAGAGACAAAGAGCAGATAGTAAATAAAAACCACTATATGTTTATGTTTCTGTGTTTGGACTTTAGAGAAGTCTCTTAAAGACGGAGTGTTTGTGAAGGAGACACCAGCAGTGGCAGACCTCCACTGGGGGATGTATCAGGACCAAAACACAACTAAGATTATACAGAGGTGGGGGGTGTTGCGTAATTATACAGACAMAGCTAATTATACAGAGAAGAGTGAAGAAAGCCTGGGAGTTGTTGTGGTGGGAGGCAGAGCCGGCGGGCTGGAGGATTTTGGGCTTCCTGACCGGCTGATCCTGCAGAGCTTACCTTCTGCACATCTGACGGCACCCTGGAGAGGAAATCAAGCACCTCATTGTTGTCGATGCTGTACGGGTTCCGTAACTTCTTGGTGAATTTATTGATACCTAAAACAGAAATTCACACCAACGTATCATTAAGATGGTTGGCTCCTTGTTTCCACACAAACACATGCTTGCAGGAGAGGCTCACGCCGTCCAGGAGACACTGTTTTCAGCATCGCGGCACACATGCAGGAGCGCTTGTTTGACTTCTGGTGTTGTGCTGGTAGATTTGCAGCATCTTAGCGTTCAAATTAAACTAAATATATTTTAGACTTTTAACACTACAAGCTTTAAAATATAAATAAAAAACATACAACCTGCTGAAAATTACTCTTGAGAAATGTTCTGAATTACCAGCTTTTCATAAAAAAATATTATTTTTTTGTGGTTCATAAGCAGAACTAAAATAAAGGTTGAATGGGAGCATTGAAACAGACACACACAACAGATGTTTTCTAAAACTCACCCCATATGAGGATGACGTAGCGGACGGAGATGAAGTATGTAAAAACTGCAGCGATGACAAAGATCAGCAGAGCCAAACCCGACAGGAACGGCACCGACCAGTTAAACGTGCTGAGAAATCAAATCAAGATTCACTCGGCGACTGCTGGTTAAATGCAGCGGTCATAAACACATTTCAAAACAAAACAACGTAGAGCAAAAAATACAAATCTACAAACAATTTTATGTCATTATTTTTTTAATGAATCCAAAATAAATAAAAATAAACTCTTACTTTTTAATCCTCTCCCCCAAACAGGCGACGTCGTCCAGCAGGTTCTGAACGGTGATGATGATGTCTTGGACCATGTGGATTTTATCGATGAGCCCTTTCCTCTCCGACTCCTGAGGCAGAAAAAAAAAACAAAACAATAAAATAAACACCTCAGTCGTGACTTGACTTTAAAAGGGTGCTCCAACTTTAATGTTACTATTAATCAGAGGAAGTTGTTCTTAAAAAACACACAAATATAATGAATTGTTCTGTTTTAAATTAAGTTTATTTTGCTTCTCTGCTCTAAAAGCGATATTAAAGATTTTTTGTAAAAGGTGGAATATTAATAATTGTTTGTAATTAGCTAACAAGTCTAAAAATCACTTCATCTGTCAGATTAATGTCATTAAATGTTCCCAAGAACACTGGTTCGATGTGTGCACGGAGGTTGAGAGGTGAAAGCTCTTCAGAGCGGGTCTGGATGCTGGATTATGAAGGAGCTGAAGTCTTGTGAAGAGGCCACTCCAGGCCCCCCCTCACAGCCAATAATGGCTTTAAAGTAAACAGAGGAGCCGGGGCTCTCAGACGTGTCCACATCAAACACAGAGACACACACAGGTTCTGAGAAGACACTGCTGAGGCAGGAGAAGGTTTTCCAGATGCAGAAACTCCACATGTAAACCAGAGTTTCACACTGAAACCCTTCAGTCATTTCAGGGTCACGTTCCCACTGGAACCAGACCGGCTCTGAATCGGACCTACGCAGCCATTCAGACCATCTACAATAAACGGCTGTCACTCTGAAGAAATATTCCATCCCCTAAAAGCATTTCAACACAAACTTTCCAATGGAGCTGTGAAGAAGCATGTCTAAGTGCTGTCATTAGTTCTGTATTGATGGTATTATGTCGTTTGTTAAGCTCAGGGACTTTCCCAAATGCAGCAGGACCTTTTCCACACCCCTCTATTTACATATGAATATGTTGTGACAAGTGGAAACAGGTTGSTGAGGTCTTCATTAGGCCTAAATGTCTTTTGAAAAGCACTAGTTAAAAAAAACACTAAACTGGTTGGTTGGAAAGAATGAAAACGCATCAGAAGATTTAGAGCTGAGTAAAGAGCTTAGCAGCACGCAGCCATAGATCACCAACAGACACCTCTGTCAACACAGAAAAATGAAGATAATTCTTTTCTATTCATCAGCAGTCAGCTGTGAGCAACTACAAACAAACCCTCTCTAAGGTACGTACCTTATCATCATCATCATCCTCATCCTCCAAATCCATGCTGTGCTGGAGAGAAAAAAAGAAGAAGAGATATAAAGGTGAAACAGGAGGGATTCAAAGATCAGAACCGAGTCTCTGATGAAGACCCGGCCCTGCGGGACAGCTGAACGTCACGCCATGCGGACCTTTTCTCAGCCTCACATCAGAAATATTAAACTGTCCCTTTGTTACGATAACAACAGCACTTGTATGAATACTGCTATKAGGAAAATAAAGTGTTTAAAAGAGAGCAAAGATCTAAGCTCTGGGAAAAAGTTTGGTTTTGTTTTTTTTACTCATTTTTGAATTTGATATTATTATTACTCACAACCAAGCAACAAACAGCTAGTAGTTGATAATTAAATAAATATTAGGTGATTAAAGCAGCACATTAAATGATTTCTTAAGGAAAATGGTAACACAAATAGAAAACCTAAACACTAACACAAAAACACCACCGTAGCTCTACATCTTCATCGTGAGCAGGAAAAACGTTCACAGAGCTACAACATTTAAGGCCCTGAGAACTTGTGTTTTTTTCTGAGTTATAAATAATGCAACAAGATGAGTTTATAAGACTCGTTTGTCTTCATGTGTCCCTGTGACGGACATGTCCAGGGCGTCCCCCGCCTCTCCAAACAGACTGCTGAAGATAAGCAGCAGCTGAAGAAAAGGGGTGGACGATTATAAAAAACTGAGATAATTTATTGCAATGTGCTACGTATTATAATTAAAGTTAAAAAAGTTATCAGACAAAGACTTATCTAACAGATTAATGAGATTAACAGATTAACATTACCAATCCCTGAAATATTTGAATTTAATCGCRGTTTTCTGACATGATGTAATTTATACAATTATTTTACGGTGAGTAAAGGCCAGGTGAGTGGGTAATAATTTATGAAGAATAAGTGTTGTTTTTGAGCACATCGGACTGATTTCTGATCATAACTGTGTGTAACGTCTGACCGGTGATGTGTGAGCTGATGAGGGGCAGAACATGATCACATGAATGAAACTCGGAGCRGTCAAAGAGGTGATAAAAAGCTGTGTATTATGACCTTTTATGGGGAGCGTACCCCCCCCCCCATCAGACCACCAATTACAGCGATGGCGAGGCAAGAAAAGAACTCCAGGCAGAATTTAAAAAAGCTCTGCTAATAAAGAAAAAGCATCATAAATGAGCTTAGACTGTAATGATCTGTTATATCACCCTATTCAGTGACTTTTCTCTGCCTTTGTGTTGTGTGTGATTTTATTCATATTATTATATATTATAAAGCCGTGGGCAGCTGGTCGCTATGGCAACATACCAGCTTCTAATTATGAGCACAAAACGTGGCTTAGCTGGATGATTATTTTTTAAATTTATATATATTTTCAACGTAATTAAAGGCAGAGAATTGCTCGCTCTGGACTCACCACGTCCTGGCTGACTCGTCCAGACCGGATCTGGAAGTAGTTCCAGGTGATGAGCAGAACCAGGGAGGCTGGCAGCATGTAGAACTGCCAGTACCACACGGTCACGAGGAAAACCTGCAGGCAGAGGGCCGACATCAGCAGTGGTGGGCAGCACTATTCTAAAAATTAAGTTCCACTAGCCCTAAAACACTAACTGAAATATTTAAATATTTATGTCCCCTAATTCTAAAGCACTAAAATAACCCAGTCAACCCATTTTCTTCAACAGACAACGAGTCACACGTTGCCATGTTGCTCTCAAGACTCATCATTGCCATTCCACAGCTGTGTTTGAGTTCATATATTGTCACCTGGTTCCCAAACTTTTCAGCTTTTGACCCACAAATCCCAGCAGCAGAGACCAGTGCCCCCGGCTGTTGTTGGTTGATAAACATTGTTTTCACGTCAAATAAATAGTAGCAAAGTAACAATATTTATTACTCTCTTTTTGTCCATTTTAGGTACACTAAATTTACTCTTTTGTAACAACAAAGGCAAAAAAAGTTGTTAGTTGTCATTTTTTTGTGTAATTAATTCAGAAAATCTTTTCAGGACCCCACCTT